CTCACAAACACTTCCCCTCATCATTCCTAATAAGCATAAGAGAATCAGGCAAACTGTCCTGAGATCTGGATAGGACCAATACAATCTAAAGAATCATTTCATGGAGGGATATGTGATTGATTCATAATAGATTGAGAATGAACTAAAAAAAAAAAAAAAAACCAAACAAACAAAAAACCTAAAACTGACTCTATAGTTAAAATAAATAAATAAATAAAATACTACTGGTGACTGACAGAACAGGCAAGAAGTGACCACTACAGCAGAAACTATCTCCACTAATAATGAAGGAATTATTCCAAATCTGTGCCTCACAGACATTGGACAGAATCTTCATCTATGACTGACAAGACATTACATGGTAGATAAACAAGTGCATTGTCTCCTTTCCACCCATTCATTGATCCTTTAGCCAGTGTTCTTGGGTAATGTTCTCCCCATAGACCTTCTGAGAGGCACATTCCACTCCCAGAGAAACAGTGTATCCACCTCCAACCAGAATTTGGATGTTGGACTTAATAACTGTGTTATCACCTTACCTGCTTTTCATGACTACCACAGGGTTCTTTCTCCAGGTTTGTCCAGTCTGTTGGAGAAGTAAAAACAAAGACTACCCCAGGACAAATTTATGTCTGGAAATCTCTTCCTGCTCTCAATTTCCAACATGTACCTTAATGGTGCATGTGATTCATAAAATCTGTTTTTCGTTTGACACTAAAAAAAAAAAAAAAAAAACCACCCCAGCCACAACAAACTAATTGAAGTGTAGACCCAAGGAATTCTAGCTCTTTCCCGTGGCAACTCCTCACCTGAACTGTCCCAAACCCAAACCAAACTCACTGCCATTGAGTCAATTTTGACTCATAGTGACCCTCTTTGAGTTTCTGAGATGGTAAATATTTATAGAGGTAGGTTGCCAGTCTTCCTTCTGCAGAGTGGCTGGTGGGTTTGAACCACCAACCTTCAGGTTAGCAGTCAAATGCCTTAGGCACTATGCCACCAGAGCTCCTTTGAACTGTCCCAGACAGAGGAAAGCCAGGGAATATATGGATGCATCATAAAGGAAAGACTCTACAGGATGTGGTGAGTGGGTACGAGTGGCAGTGTCTGGAGGAGGGTGGGTCAGAGTTAGGGTTGATAATGATACCATGTACTGAAGGAGGGAGGACGAGAGAGGAAGGTAGTAGAGGGAAGATAGTGGAGTGAAGGTGAAAAGAAGGTGAGTTTCCTTCTGAAGAATCGAACTTGAAAAGTCAAGTAGCTGGAAACACCAATTGAAGATTCCAAGACCTGAGAAGAGAAATCAATCATGTCTCATAATCTGTCAAATAAGATCCCACTACATAAGAGGCTTAGTGGAGAGGCCCACACAGGGCTCAACCATTTTATTTGGCACTTAGATGAAGGCAGAGAAGGAATATTTGTCACATCTATAGTCCACAAAAGCTAAATGCCACAGGTGTCAGAATAGGCAAAAATAACCAAAATGGCTGGAAAGAGGAACTGAAACTAACATAAAATTTATCAGGGATTAGTGTAAAGTCCTATATTATGTTCAGAAAATCAATTGCACAACTATATAGAGTAATAAGATATTGATAACTACCTTTCATTTTTATCCAATAGTTACTAAATGCCAGCCTCACTATATGCCAATTGCTTCATTAAATCATTTATTTAGTCTTTACAACAGCCCTAGGTATTGGAGCTATTATTATCTTTGTCTTATAGGTGAAGAAACTAGGACCAAGATTAAATAAACTTTCCTAAAGTCACGTGACTAGTCCGTAGCAGAGGCAGTATTCAAATTTTGGTTTATCTGACTGAAAAATTCAATGCTTTTTAACCAATAAACTAAGGACTGGGGAGACCTGAATTGATCACGCTTGTATCAAAGACTTGGAGATTTTATCTTTACCATTCATAAAAATAAGTGAGTACACGTCTGTGTGCGCTACAAAGAAAAATATACAAACCCAGATGATGAGTCAATTGAGAGGCTGTTAAAAATATAAGAATATACACAATGTGATTCGGGACTTGTAAAATTTGAAGTGTTTGCCTAGAAGTGTGAAATTTTTATGATCACACGAATGTTTAGTGTGGAAGGACTGAGAACCCAGGTCTCAGCTGGATTTCTGTTAGCATTTCCGTATCAAATTGAGGGAAAAGCATGCCTAAGAATCGATTAAAAGGCCTGGAGAGTTTACAAACTTCCACCAGCAGGGAATCCTACAGTGTCTCAGCAGAGGAAAAGAAGTGAGAACCCAGACTCATGCTTCTCTGTTACAACTTACCCACCTCACCTGTCTCAATTTTTCTGGGGCAGAAACTCTCAGGATAAGTACCCATGCCCTGCTGGTCCATCTTCTCTCTCTCCCTTTAATTTTGGGAGTCCTTGGTTCTTCCCACTCCTGCCCACCTTCCTTTCCTTGGTTGACTTAGCTTTCCATCCTCTTGCTGGTTACTTCCTCTGTCTCTGCCTCTTTTTAGTCCTGGGAAAATATCCCCTGGATCAAGATCTTCCCTGCTAGCTTCCATGACAGACACTTAGGACATCTCTATTTTCTTAAAATTCTATTTTAAGAATTTGAGCACATTCTCATTAAGTTTTTATAAGCCTTAGACTATCATCACGACTCTTTTTGCGTCATCTGGAGCCAAATAATTGTATAGTTAGCTAATCTTATGAATTGACGTTAACCAATAGGACAGAGAATACAAATCACAAGGTCGAGTATTTTATCTCTTCTTTGTCATCCCATTTAACAACAGGAAAGATTTAAGACAGTGCTTCAAGTTCATTGTATTTACAATTTTATTTCTTTGAAAAGTTCAACGTCAGCAGTGCCTATTTTACCAAAACAAGCCAACTCTGTAAAGACAACTGAGTAACCCAAGTGGAAAAAAAAAAAGTTACTTCTGCCTAAGCAGATGAATGTAGTATGTGATTATCTACAGTATAATTTTGGTTATAATCTATGGTTGTATATTCCCTATCAGCCACTCTGCTAGACTTTGTCCCAAGGGAAGAACCATAAAATAATTTAGGTTCTATTGCCTTTATTTATTTAAATTCCCATCCAGAATTCATGAAAGAGGTTCTAATGCTTACTGTAACTCTGGGACACAGAATATGTCTGAAAAGGACTTTTGAGTCCTCTTACTCATTTCAGAGAGACTTGATATCTATATTTGGTTATTCCTTTGGTCTATCTTTCCTTTCCCTTCCTGCTGTGCCCTAAGTCTGGGCCTACAGCCTTTAGATGCTTGGGTATCTTACCTGCCCCCCTGCCTACGGGTTTCCTCCCTTTTCAACCCACCCTGCCAACCTTCCTTAAACCTGCTGGTGTGATATCTCTCAAGAGTGTGGATTCTTTTTCAACTCCCTCTGGTTAGACCCCTAACTGCCTTGTGATCTGGCCTCACCTTACGTATCCATCCTTTTTGGGACCTTCTGGCCCCATATGCCCCATTTTGCTGCTTCTGTTGGGCCAGAAAACTCTCCTCCTCATCCCACAAGTATACTGTATTCATTTGCAGCTCTGAGCCTCAGCTCTTGCTATTTCTCCCCTTCCAGCACATATCACTTTCCCTTCAACTCTCTGTCTACTCTTATCCTACCCTCCTGTTAAACTCTAGTGATGAAACCTCTTCTCCACGAAATATTCTCCAATATTCCAATTCTCTCCTTATACTCATTTAGTCACTTATTATCTTCCATTAAGGAGCACTGGTGGTGTACTGGTTAAGGCATTTAGCTGCTAATCAAAAAGTCCATGGTTTGAACCCACCAGCTGCTCCATGGAAGAAAGAGGTGGTCTGCTTTTGTAAAGATTTACAGCCTTGGAAACCCAATGGGGATCGCTATGAGTCAGAATAGACTTGGTGGCAGTAAGTTTGGTTTGTTTTTGGTTTATCTTCCATTGCTTTATCTGCTGCCTCCTCACCGCATTCCCCCCCCCCCCCAAGGTATAGCAACTTGAGTGCAAGGGAAAGGCTGAGGTAACTTTTTATTCTTGACTCAGAAGTTATCATATGGTTTACATTCAAGAACAAGCTATTGACATGGCTGACACAGCCATTGCCTACTGATTCCAGATCAATAGTTCATTTCGAACTACCATTTACAAACAGCTACTAGGCATAAGATCCTTATTCTAATTGTGAAGGGCTGCCCCTTAGCCAGTTGTAGGATTATTATTCTTAAATTTTGTCTTGAAAGTTCTAATTATCTAGCTCCTTATTATTGGTGATAATTTATCTGCTACATGTGTCACATCACCCCCCCATGGAAATTTGAAGTTCTGATTGCAGTTGGAAAATAAAACACTTAACATGTAAGAGTGCTAATCTCCAAAAGCCATGATGTCACAATTAGACAAAAAAAAAAAAAAAAATAAGGACTTCCAAATTAATATTTAGGAGCCATCTTTTCCATAGCTGAGAATAGTTTCTTAACTCTTGCCCCTTGGGCCATTTTTATTTATTCCTTCTAAGTGGCTTTTTATAGATAATTGCTACAGTGGCATGAGAACATTGGAAAAACCGATCTAATCACCCAAGGGCACTTGTGATCCATGCCCACAAAATAAATAAGAAACAATAAAATGACAATGAGTGCAAATGACTATCATTGCTCTTAAAATTAAATAGTAATCCACAATGAAATGGTTGAGGGTCACTTTAGACAAATTCTTCTTTAGAAGTTCATTGCATTCAGGCTTCTGATGTTTGGTGGGATGTAAGTCCCTTAGCTTTTCTTTCTCATTGTCTCTCCAGAACTTTGCACTTTAATCTGTCACTGGGCAAAGTCAGCTACAGCAAGCCAACTTGCTCTTACACGTTTCTTTAAAAACTCAGTCTTCTTCCCTACAGTAAATGCCACCAACCGCCTTAGTATTCCAGGACTCCAGTATTTCTGAGATACATTAAGAACATTAGATTAGAGAGGAAGAAGGAGGAGAAATAGAAGAAGCACTAGATAGGGAAAATCTTACCTCAACTTCTGACTGGCTGGGACAGTTATTTTATTAAGCTTGTCCATTCTTTTTGGTAATTATAAGAGATACGATAACCGTCCAGTGGTCTCGTCAGCAGTTCCTGGGCCTCCCAGGGAGTAGCATGGTAAGTGTTGGGTCTCAAGGGTCCACCTCCACTCCCACCACTTGAATCTGAGTTCGGAGATCACAGGCTGCTAGCAGACACTCTTGCACTAAAGAGAGGTAAAACTCGCTCGAGCACATAGCAAGTTTCATGTTTCTACACTACCATGTGATCTGGGTAGCCAGCCAGCTTGGCTGATTACGCCACGTTGTGTAAACTTGAATAGTGAAACCTATTGGGCATGCAGATTCCTTCCCAGCTGCTTTCTTTTATAACCAGATTTGTAACCAGGGCAGGACAAGCTGCTGGCTGGTCACTACTTCCTGTTTGTCTGGTGCTCACTTAGTCCCTGTTTTCGGCAAGTGTCATGACATGCTGTCACAAGTAGCTTCCTGGCCTCAAGGAAAAGCAGGATAACCAATTCCATTCAATGTCTCTTTGGGACTTTCTGTTCATTGGCTTAAAGTCATGGATATGCTTTTTCCACTCTCAGAGGCTTTACATGAAAATGGCATTTCTGTACTATTTCTTCTGCCTCTCTTCCCTCCCTGCCCAATATTATTTTCAGTAAATGTCAGGGTGGCAGTAGCACTCTGGCAACAGTGTCCTCAGGTGAAGAGTCATTCCTTTCCTGGAGATCTGTCTGAAACAGGATGGGATAATTTCTATACAAGGTAATTTAGGGGTAGAACAGGTGATCTGGAAAAGGAGAATGCTCTCCATCTTAAAAAGTGTGCCCCCTCATTGGGCTGGTGGAGTCTGGAGTTACCATCGCTGGTGGCTAGATGCTTTCAAGTGCAACCTGGATGTACCCAAAAGAAAGCCAGGAACAATTCTAACACTCTCCCAGCTATGTTACATAAGGCCATTCTGAAGTTCCCCTAAAAGTAGAGTGCCACTTTCCTCCTTATCTTTGTCCCCTCCTGCCTCATCATACCCAAGTGACATGCTGGCCATGAGAGCAGTAATGGGTATCCAAAGCACAGACAGGAGGGGCAGGTGAGGATCCGGGAGGAGGGAACCGTACTTGCATGTTTCTAAACCCATCCACAGAGGTCTACTTCCTTACTGGAAGACGTTATAATTTATTCAACCTATTATACATTAAATAACAACAATAACAATTATGCTGATAAAATTTTCTGAAAACCTCTGATTTGTCCATCATTTAAAGAGTAGGAGGCATCCTAGGGCCAGGGATGAAGAGGGTGAGAGGGATCATTCCTTTTATTCCTAGACATACTTCCTCTGAACCAGCAGGAATGTCCTGCTCACATGTGAGGTCAAGGGCACATTTCCCACATTTACCAAAGCGACTGGTCCTCTCTTGGGTCTGAAAAATACTCAGAAGGAACAAAGCACAGGGCTCCAGTTACCTCTCCTGTTAGAGAAGTCTATAAGACAGAGCTGATAAGAGGAGGAGGAGATGAAAGAAGGAGACAGACAGGGGAGGTGGAGGAGGCGGTAGTGGCAGTGGCAGAAGTGGAAACAGTAGATGCATTTCTTCCTCCTGGGTCTCTTCTTTGAACAAACACAGTTTCTGTTTTTCTCCAGATAAATCCCGATTATTCACAGTCATGCCTTGCCTCTGAGTTTCTGGTTCAGCCAGATGTTCAAGAGCAGAATCCTCAGAGCTTTACTGATGGTTGGGACCCTTCTGCTTGGCCAGGCCACTGAACTGGCCAGGCTAGTAAGAGATCAGACGATCTTTCATGAAAAAAAAAAAAAAAATCAATAGCTTGCCTCCTCCAATCATTTATTTCCCCCAAACAAGCAGTTTAATTTTCTTGCAGTATATCATGAAGGAGCTCTAAAACACCCAGCAATTTCCTAACTGAAGGGATCCAGTAGACCAGGAAGGTCAAGGCATGTACAATGTCATCAAGACCAGGAAAATCAAGCTTCACTGAATGGGATGATAATAACTAGCTCGTTCCTTCTAAATTACTGTAAAGTGTACCCTGTTGGTCCCTTGACTTTTCTCTCAACAAGCAACTCTGCTCAGCACCTGGGCTGGCAAGTTATTTCCCCAGAGAAAAAGACCAGGGCCATGGTTTACACTTCTGCTTTTTCTTTTTACAGCCACTTGCCTTTCTTCTTTTTACTGCATTTAGTCTGACATGATGAAAATGAGAGTCTCTTTTTTCCAGACTGGACATTTTGCCCTGTGTGGTGTGTAGCATGACCATCATAATGTTCCAGACTGTAACTGGCTCACTACGAAGGTCAATGCAAGGATGGAAATTTGTGACACCAAGTTTTAGTTGATGACTTGTAAAGAGAATGAGACCTCACCATGTGGTTTCCACAGCATATGGAGCACAACATACCATGTTAAATGCTCAGGCTCAATCTACAGGGCAAATTTGCAATTAGAAGATGGGAAAATGTACAATCCCAACCTTAATGAGAATTTGGAATTTCTATACCATGGTGACTAACCAGAAGGCTGGCAGTTCAAACCCACCAGCCACTCCAAAGGAGAAAGATGTGGTAGTCTGCTTTTGTAAAGATTACGGCCTTGGAAACCCTATAGGGCAGTACTACTCTGCTCTATAGTGTGACTATGAGTCAGAATCAAGTCAGTCGTTGATAAAAGCACACATACCTTACACATAGTATAGATGCAGTCATTTTGAAAATAGTGTGGTGTTATCTAACAAAGTTGGTGATGCTAAGTGGATACCAAGATCAAGTGGAAAAAATGTTCATTAAGAGACTGTTGTAATAGCAAAAACAAACAGATAAACAGTAATTGTAGTTAAAAAAAAAAAAAAGTGAATTACACCAGCATATAACAGTATGGATAAATTTCAAAAACAATTTGAGCAATACAGTCAAGATATAGACAATCTAGCACAATTCCATTTATAATGAGGTTAAAGACACGTGAAGATAAATAACATATTATTGAGGGATACATACAAATTTGGTAACCAAGCAAAAGAATGATAAATATAAAATGCAAGTGAATGGTTATCAGGGAGCAGAGTTGAGGTAAAGGTGCACGTACACAGGGCCTCAAAGGTGATGGTAGTGTGCTATTTCTTAAGCTGAGTACTAAGCATGTGCATGCTCATTTTATTGTTAATTATAGCTTACACATATTACAGGTATTAAATAGAAGAAGATCTAGACAAGATTTATGGGGCAAAGCCAAGATAGTCTGCCTAAGTCAGCGTTAGCTCTATGAGGCGATGAAGCCTGAGAACAAACAGAGGTTACACTGGAGCTTGGGGATGCGGCCCAGCTAGCCCTGGCTCCTCTTGGGCTTTTTTCTTGTGTCTATGGGCTGATGACAACAATACATTTATTGAATGGTTTGCAGGTGCTTGTATTATGATTACATCCATTTTATAAACTTATGCTTAGCTATGTAACTGGCCCAAAGTTACACTGCTAGTCAGTGGAAGAGCTGGGATTCAGACCCGTCTGTTTCAATAACCTAAGCTGCTGATCCTAGGAGTCTACCATCCCTAAAAGAGATCTTTTGTGATTCCTGAAGGGGCGGAGGACCCTGCTCTGGCATCCAGGCACTGACTTAACCATGACCTTGAGCAACTCACTTAGTGTGTCTGGACTAAATTCTCATCTATAGAGTAAATAAGGGACTCTAGGAGGGTCAGGCCACTTCTGAGTTGGAGTCTGGACACTGGTCCAGAAATCGAAATAGGTTAACACCACTGGGCACAGTCTCAGAATCTTACATATTTCCTTCACCTTTGGGCAAAGGTCCTAATTTAAAGTTTCCAGAAGAGAACGTCCAATTCTCCATTCTAGACAGCTTCCTGAAGTGAAAGAGGGACTAGGACACAGTGGGCAGCTTACAAGGTATTAAGGGTCGCCAGAGCCTGTGCTGAGGAACACAATTTTGATGTATTCCTGCTCTGGGAGGTTAGCCACAGTTTACCCTCTCTGCTCTGCTACCCATTTGCTGATGACTCTTCGCCTTCCAGGGCCAGCTTAGGCATGCTGTCAGAGGAAATGGGCAAGGTGTGGCATTGGTACTCCTCTATGCAAAACATACCCCACCCCCATGATGCTCAGCCTCATGACAACACTAGAGGTGGGTACTGTTATTATTCACATTTTATCATGTGAAAATTGAGCCTCAGAAAGGTGATGTGATTTACTCAAGGTTTTCCTGGCCCCTCCCAAATGATTTTTTATCTCTTTTTGATTCCCTTTTTCTCTTCCTTTCTTTCCTTTTTTTTTGGTTGTGGCAGGGAGTGGTGGTGGTGGGGTGGTATCTACAGCAGTACAGCAGTAGCAGTCCTGGCAGCTTTCTGGCACACACAGGCCAAAGTAACAGGAGCCCCTGGTTGGCCAGGCCCATGCCTGGTTTTCTCAGCCAGTACGGGTTAAGAGCCCAGGTGGACGAAGATTTGAAAGGAGGCTAAGGAGTCTGGGAGGGCCAGTTGGTAAAAATAGCAAAAGAGACCAGGGAAAGGCAAAGCAAGAAAAGGAAGTGTGCCAGATGCTGGTAGCGGTGTGTCTGTCCTTCTCCTTTTTGGGGAGGAGGGTAGGAATAGAAAAAGAAGGAAGAAGAGAACATCTGTGACTTGAGCAAAGGGTCAAGGTCCTTTTGAGCTTAGGCTGCACTTTCTGTGAGTCAAATGAGTTCCCTATTTTATCTACTGAGTAAACTCAAAATTCTGTATATCCAACTGACCTAGAGTGAGGCATCTGAATTATTAAGAGGAAAGCTTAGGTAAAAACAGCCTTTATTCATTGTATCATCCCATGCCCTATTGGTCAGGAATATTACAATAGCCTATTGTTGGGATAAGGCATTCTGGTGGCACAGTGGTTAAAGCATTCTGCTGCTAACCAAAAGGCTGGCAGTTAGAACCCCTCAGCCACTCTGTGGGAGAAAGATGAGGCAGTCTGCCTCCATAAAGATTTACAGCCTCAGAAACCCTATGGGGCCATTCTAGTCTGCCTTGAAGGGTCTTTATGAGTTGGAATTGACTCAAAGGCAATGATTTTATTGTTGGGATGGGCAAGTCCTGGGCTATGTCTCATCTTCACCTCCTTCCTGGCCAATCTGCCAA